GAGCCTGCCGGTGCCGCTGACTGGTTGCAGCCTGGGCCGAGGTGGGGAGTTGCGTGCTTGCTTCTTCCCAGCTCCTTCTTCCGGTTCCCTTGCCCGAGCCGGCCCTTGCCCACATAAGGGCCCTTAGTGATGAAGGGTGAGGCTGGCAGCATTCACAAGTATGTGTTTACTAGGACGGTGCAAAATAAGATCAGGCAGCCAGCGCATCGTCCGCAATAAAGACCTGAGATTAGGCTGGGATGATGGGGCAACATCCTTCTCTAGCCACCCCCCAAAACACCCAGGGGACGCCTCCGACCAAGTCTGAGCGGGTGCTGCCTGCCCAGAAGCTCAGCCGATCCGTGCCAGTTTGCCCGCCAGCGGCCCCCGGGCCCGTGCACTATGTATATAGCACTGAATAAGGAACAATGAGTCTGGACTGAAAATCACCCCAGATCACACGTCTCCACCATCAGGGGACTCTCCCAAAGAAGCATGGGCAGAGTCCTACTCAACCCAATGCTCAATTTCAGAGTGCCAGCCTGACAACTGCCAGCCCCTCAGGCCTGAGTAATAAATACATTGCCCCAAATGAGGAGCTTGGTTTTGGATGGGATTATGAGGCAAAATCTTTTTGGGTCACTCCAAAACACACGTCACCACCTCCAGCAGACTCTTGTGATAAAACCTGGGAACAGCATTTCCCAACCTGAAGCTTGGTTTTTATGTACAACTGCCAGCCCCGAGACCTGTGGGCTATTGACACTGTTATTCACAGGCATCAACTCCATGGGTGCTCCGGGGTTCAAGCACCCACCACAAAAAATGAGCGGGTGCTCAGCATCCACAGAGCCACTTGCAGATGTTAAAAATTAACAAAAAACAAAACCAAAAAAACCCATAGGAGAAAGCAGCATGTGACTCCAGTTGGGCTCTGCAGCGTCTATAAAGATTGGGTGCTTCAGCGGGGCTTTGTGGTGCTTTTAGCTAAAGCTGATTCAATCAGCTATTAGACAGAAGTGCCAAAAAAGCCCCATTAAAGCGCCCAATCTTTCAAGATGCTGCAGAGCGAAGTAGAAGTAACACACTGCCTCTGCTGGGCATATGTGGGGCTTGGCACAGGATCACGCTTCAGATATGTGTGGAATGTGTGCTAATAAGCCATTTTCTCAGACTCTTTGCAGAAAAACAAGGTACATAAGAATGATATAGTTTGTGTGCAGGTGTGTTAACTCCCTGAATGCACTCATGCCAAAACTAGGCCTGGCAGGCCTAACGGACCATTTCAGTTCTGTCAAGCATCAAGAGGCTGCACTGTCTCCTCGGGATGACTCGGGCCACCTTTCAGGAGCTCCTGTAGCAGCTCTACCCACACATGGAGCAACAGGACACCACCATGGTAGCCACCCCTCCCTGAGGACACCCGGCTGGCCATTGCCCTGCTCAAGCTGGCCGTGCCCACCAGCCACTGCTACGTTGGCCACCTCTTCAGCATGGGCAAGGAGACAAGGGAGGACGTGCAGCACCTTCCAGGATGTGCTGGGGCACACCATGCTCCAGCTGCACAACCCCCTGGCAGTAGTGACCGTGTTCTGCACCCTGGGCTTCCCCCAGTGCATCAGGGCCATGGAAGGGACCCATATCCCTGTCACCTGCCAGCCCCACAGCAACTGCCCCTACTACAGCCAGCAGGGCTTCCAACATCGGCCACGTCATTGTCACAGCCTGCATGCTACATAACATCTGCTGAGGCAAGGCCGGCAGGCAGGGGGCTCACCCCAGAGCAATGGCAGGTGCTGCTCTGCTGGTGCTCCCATCTCCCCCTCCTGCAGCTAGTAGGCCAGGTCAGCAAGGCCTGCATGCAGTCCTGGCCCTGCTGCAGGCAGCTTCTGTTCTGCGGCTGCATGGATCTGGGGCAAGTGGCAGGGCTGATCACAGGAAGGAGGGATGAGTGGCGGGGGAACCAAGGAGGGAGCAAAGGCAGGGGGTTCTGGCCAGTGGAGGCACCGCTGTACCTCATCCCAGGCCTATGGGGGGGGCCTACTGCTGGGCTGTGGGCAGCTGCCAGGGGGCAGACTGGGCAAGGGCTGGGGGCAGGGCAGCAGGCATCCAAGACAGTGTCCAGCACCTGACGGCCCTTCTCCATGGTCTCTATGCCCTGGCCACCAAAACAGCCTGCCACTTCAGGGCCTCCATGTGCTGCTCCTTCAGGTCCAGGAGCCTCTTGCAGAATTCCTGGTCTGCCTGGTCCTACTGCCAGTCCCTCACCTCCTTGTGTCAGTCCCTGGCGTCTTTGATTCAGTCCCTGGGGTCCTTGCAGACAATGTCCTCTTCCTGACAGTCCTGTGAGTCTGCCAGGCACTTGTTGGCTACCATAACCAGCCAGTCCAGCAGCTGGGTCTGGTCCTGTGCTGCCGGAGTTGGTGCATGTACAAGGCCTCAGCCAAAGCTGCTGGTGACCCTGACAGAGCATCCCATCTGTCAACTGTACCTCTCCCCCACATGCAGCTGCAAGGCCTACAGAGCCAGGAGAAAGACGTTGTTTATGAGTTTGCAACATTTCTGAAATAAGATGCTCTGTACCAGGGGCCTGTGCGCTGCCCGGCCTCAGATCAGAAGTTGTTTGTGCATGGGTGCCCATGGACCATGGTAAGTGGGCTAGACAGGCCCTGGCCCAGGTGGTCACTGGCCAAGCCCCCCATACTCACTTACTCCCCAGGGGCAGGTGGGCCACTGGCTGCAGGGTGCCTCCCCTGCCTTGTTCTTAAGCCGGGCCAGGCCTGGCTCCTGGCAACACCTGCTGCCATGTCTCCAAAGCCACTTGCTCACCTTCTCCTCCTGCAGGCTAGCCTGTCTCCTGTGTTGCCACCAAGCCCTGGGTGCAAGGGGTCCCCAGTCAACTGGAACACAGAGCTACTGCTACCCCTACCCTTCCCCCAGGGGCCTCTCTGGGGAGATGCCCTGGGCCCAACCCCCATACACACACACACACTGGCATTGCACCCCGAGCACGCCACAAGGAGCTGTTTGTATGGACCAAGGGCTGCCTTACCCACTATGCCCTGCTGCTGCTGCTGGCCATGATGCCCTGGGTGCACCTGTGAACCTGGCACAGGACCCTGAGTGCAAGCTTGCCCTGCCCTGCAACGTCTGGTGCCACCTGGAGGGCTACCTGTGGCTGTGCTACATGTCCCTGTCCCCTGCAGCTGAGGAGAACATCACAGTTGGCATCAGCACGTTCCTTGTTGTGTGAGAGGCCCATACCAACTGTAGGGGCACAGGTTGCTCAATAAAGTTTTGCACTGTCTCCAGCCTCCCTGTGTGCTGTGGATTTTTCCTACTAGGATTCTTTTTGCCAGAACCCACCAAGGATTGACACAACCCCTCATTTGATTTGGTATCAGGTGAACTTTTAATAGTAATCCCTAATCTTTATTACAGGTTTCCTCCCCATAATACGACCTGGCAAGCAGTTCCTTAGGCGTTACAACAGCAACCTTCAGTAGTACCAGCCTCAGATCCTCTGCTGGGTGTGTGGGATGGTAGTTTCTGCATTCTTCATTGTTCGAACAAGAATGTCAAGGTTGCTTCTTTCTCCCCAGGGTGGCAACACAGACTACACATGTTCCTTTGTTTGTCCATCACTTTTATAATTTTTCTCATCCCAGATTGTCCAATCCCCTGGCTCTGTGCCAAACATTCTTTATATGGTGGACCAATTCCCTGGCACTGTGTCAGCCACATTTCTTATAGGGAAACTGTTGTGCCTTTATGGCCTAGTGCCCAATCATAGCACTCACATCTCCCAGTGGCACAGAAGGTGCTCTGTTCAATTTTGTTGCTTAGTTTTGGGCAGGCCTGGGCTATGACTAAAAGCCTTAGCATAACTTAGTTTACCCGCTACACTGTGGGGGACAGGGCTTACCAGGTGGCTGTGGCAGGTGTGCCTGGTACCATGAGTAAGTGCCCACTGGCAGTGAAGACAATCAGCTCCTGGCAGTGTACTGGGGAGCAGCAGCAGAGCATCTGGGTGACTGGGTGGGGGCCCCCTCCAGGGAGGAGTTGGAGTTGCTGGCAGCTGGAGGTGCCATAGCCAGCTTAGCCTTGTGTGTGGGGCTGAACATGAGGAGCTGGTGGGACAGATGATGGCCTAAGCTCCCAGAGCTGCCCAACAAGGCCAGGGACAAGGAACTTGGTGGGATAGGCTCCTGGCGGCCTGAGAGGCCCTCCCCTGATGATGTGTCACCATGGATGCCGAGCCACAGTGGAGGTTTGGGCAGGCTGCCTATGCTGGGGTAGACAGCATGGCTCAGGCCAGGGTCCCAGGGTGTGAAGATATCATCCAGCTTCTGCATAAAGGGCTTAGACTTGCAAGCAGTCCCCAGCCAGTGGTTGTGGTTGATGACTGTGCCCTACTGTGCCTGCAAGGCCTTGACCTTTGTGTGGCACTGGTGCACCGACAGGTTGTGCCCGTGCTCCCCATGTGGCCAGACAGCCCCTCATAAATGTGTGTATTGGAGAGCCTGCTCCGCACAAACTGGGTGAGGACCTCGGCCTTGTCCCACAGCACATTGAGGTCTGCAGTCTCCTCCTGGGACCAGCCAAGACCTCAGGTGGAGCATGGCATCGGGGAGAATGCCAGCATGGTTCCTTCAATGGCTTGCTGGGCCTCCACATGGCAGTCCCAGTGCTGATGAACCTGGGCAGATGCCTGCAGCACCCAATGCAGGGGACACGGTGCAGGACAGGCAGGCATGAGGCAATGGAGCGCTGGGCACCAGCGGCAGGGTCCGCGCATGTTGCTGTGGTGGGCTGGGGCCAGCTGGAGCAGGACCCAGTGGCTGGCTGCAGAGGTCCCAGGGTACTGCTGGGCCTAGCAGGTGCCTGCAGCACTGAGAGCAGTGGAATGGCATGGGCCTGGCAGCCGTGTGGCACTGTAGTGCCAGGAACCGGCAGCAGTGCGCATTGGGATCACACAGCAGATGTTGGGGATTGGGCAGCAGCAGAGGTGGACAGCAGCACGTGATGAGGATCAGGCCACAGTGCAGGTTGGGGGGCAGGTGAATAGGGAGCCACTGGTGAGTTGTGGATCAGGGAACAGGTGGCAGGGCACAGGCATGAGGGGCAGGTGACATGGGAACAAGGAGCAGGGGTCAGACTGCCTGCCTCTCCCTCTCCCCCCAGTTGAGGACAGATTTCGGACAATCTTCCAATAATTAGATTCCATACATGGAAAATTATGGCAAATTATAGAATTATGTTATAATTTTCCATGTATGGAATCTACCTATTTAGGGTGGTCACCTATATTCAAAGACATCTTGGATTCAGGTCAACAAGGTATTAATTGCAACAATAAATTATCATTGCCAATGCATACTATTGCATCCAATAACAGAACATAGAGGATAGATGAGAACAGATGAGAACTGAAAATCACAGTATGAGCACCAGTAGGCATCTATCTCATGATGAGACAATAGAATTATGCCATGTGAGACATCAACTCACTGAAAGTAATACTTGTTTGAAACATAAAGTGAAGCTGAAGTGACCTCTCCAGGGTGCAAAAGCCTGGGCAGGGTATATGGTGACACAGAGCTGCCAATGCATGTTATCTCCCTCTCAGCCTTGATGGTTTAATCTAAAAGAAGGGTAGGTGTCAGTAGGGTTGGAACCAGCTTGGCTGTTGAAGCAAAGGAGATCATCCAGGTGTCCGTCTATCAGAGCTCCACTCCTAGACAGGCTGCCAATTAGGGTTAAAGAGCCCAGTCTATCCAGTCATGGAGTAGACTTCAGTTTCATAATTTTTTGTCAGCATTTCCTCTGCCAGGGGTAAGATTAGTACCCCCACTCTAAGGTATTCTTCTGCACAAAGCCATTGGCACCCTAGAGGGTGCCAGCTTATTTAAGTGCCACTCAGCACTCAGTGATAACAATCACAGTAGTTTCATCTACTGTAAATGATGGTATCAGGCAAACCTGACCTGACCTGTATTAGCACCAGTACAGCTACAACCGAAACCCCTACAGTGTTCTTAGTACTTGAGGCTTTGGTATGTATTTAATTTTGTGTGTGCGTGCTCTTGCTGACATCCTTATTGTTCCTTGGTGCATTTTCCTTCCTAAGAGCTCTGGAGAACTCTTCTTCAGTTGCTGGTGTATCTCCACATCCTATCTTTTTAAATTTTAAAATACCATCATAACGCCAGCTCTCGGTCTCTCCAAGTTTGTGTTGCCAGTATGTCATGTTACCCCAAACTACCTTGTACTTACAGTGAGAAAACCTTTGTTTTAGTAAACTGATAAATTTGCGAATGTCTGATATTCTCTGATGAATTAATCAGGGTTGGTGACATGTTTTAACTAGCAACATTCCACTGACTTCAATACAAGAGACCTAAATACAGGACACAAAAAGGGGATTTTGGGGGCAAGGGAATAGGGTACTACAATCTCTGAAAAGCCAGCAACTGGCATTTGAGAAGGCATGGTTCAGTAATTTGATACAGAGCTAGATATGCATATAGGTTTATTTTAATTGACTTAATGTCATTACAGCTTCAACAGAACTCACACTACCAACTTACTTAATGTCATGTACAGAAATCTCTGGTGGAAAAAGCCAAGGATCAAATGCAGCCTGGAAAGTCTACTTCAGGAAAGGTGTGCTTTGGGGTAACATGAAAAGGATTTTTTTCCAGAAATCCCAGCCCAACCTCAACCCCTTATTTAGTGATGATTACATAACACGCAACCCTGTAGAGCAGGGGTGGGCAAAATATGGCCCGTGGGCTGGATCTAGCCCACAAGGCCATTTTATCCGGCCCACGGGGCCCCTAAAAACTTTAGAATGACAGGAACCAAGGGCAGTAGATCCCAGGGGAAGCCTGGTGGGCTTCCACAACAGCAGGGCCTGCTCAGCCCCTCCCCACCAGCTGAGCTGAGCAGGCAAGAAGGGGGTCAGGGCTGTGCACTGCCCCCTGCCTGTACCACGGTGCTGGGGGGCATGGGGAGTGAGCAGGTGTGGGAGCCAGCAGGAGCACGGGGCCCACATCGGTGACCCAGGGCCAGTGCTGGCGGTGCCCAGAGCAGGGTGGCAGGAGTGCAGGGTCCCGGCTAGCTCCCTTCTCTCCCTGCTGGAGC